CTAAAAGTAAATTCTAAGACTTGAGACTTTGTTTTCACATTTTAAAATCTAGGTAAACAACAACAATAGTGTAATTGTCTAAATTAATTGAAAACTAAGATCGAGTAAGTAAATGTCACAAGCACAGACCACCCCATGCCCCAGCAGCTGGACCCACTTGAGGGGGACTTGGTGCGACGTTTTTGTGCATGTGAGCAGTGTTGAAAGCTATGGGAAAATACCAAATGAGCTCATTTATCTTGCTGGACTACGCACGCACGATTTATTTAACCTACCGTTCCTCGCGTATGGATTGTGTATTAGTTGGGATCGATTCTAGATATCTCCCTCTTGAATTTGTTTGTAGTCCAATAATTGTGTAGAATGGGTTCTTGGATTGGCTTGGGGCTTGTTTTCCTGAGGTACGTTGGCTAAAACTTTAGGTTATTTGCTAGTATTGTCTATTAACTTGCATTGAACGCGATTTGGATCGTATCGTCGAAAATCATCCGATACAGAAAAGCAATTCATTTAAAACTTAAGCAATTTATTCCTTCTTTATAATAATGTGAGGATTCAAGATTTACTATTCATGCTACAGTAAATTATTATAGCTTTGTTACTGTAGCACAAACAGGAGGATCCAAGCTTCCCTATTCATGATACAATAATATTACTGTACTAATATTATTGTAGCACAGGCGGGGATCGACTATAGCGTTTAAAAACATTACTGTAACATTATTATAGCTCAGACGAGATACTATAGTATTTAAAAATGTTATTGTAGCCATTACAATAACATATTTAAATATAAAATTATTATAGCGGAAATAAAAATAAAGGTCGTGCTTTTCACGAGGTGCACACTAATTAATAAGAAGAAGAAATAGAAAATCTCCCACCAACAAAACGAGGTTGAAGTTTCGCATAAAAGATATTGCACTTTATACTACAAATCGTGGATTTTCTTTTTTAACATGACCACCTTATAGAAAGTGACTACCAACATAGCCAGGTTTTGGGTTACACTCAATTGATTCTTGCATCCTTTAGGATATAATCCAATTTTTTTTAATCAAAGATAAAAATTAATTGCTAAACTAGAATCCGTATAAATTTCCAAAAAAAAAAAAACATAGTCTACATAATTCATATGTTGCTCAATTATAATAGAGGAAGCTTCTAATTATTTTTATATCCCATAAATATATCATGGTTATCTTTATGTGGGGGAATTAATCCTCCGAGCCGTTGATTTATCAGATAGCTGTCTTCGGCTTCAAAAGACCTCTTCTTTTTAAGACGATTAAAAAAGCGGAGAAGCATTGAAGATTAATATTATCCTTTCAAACATGCCCATCAAATCATGTCACCAAAGTTTGATTACTAAGCGCTTATACTCAATTTACTTGTCTAAGCAACGGTGTTAGACTTATTGGTTTGTATATTATATATATATATATATTTTGTGGGAATAGTTAATCTTAAAATGATTATATTTTATTGGATATTGATGAGCCTTGGACGTACACTTTTGTAAAATAATAGTATATTTCAGACTCATCTTCCATAAGTCAGAGTGTTGACGCGCGCGCTCTCACTTTGATGCCTTCGGGCTTGTAAGTGGTAAATACTTGCTTTTTTGCACTATATAGATTAGATTATAAATGATACATATAACTTAGGACTAGGATCATTTTGTATTTTTTTTAAACTTTTGTTAATTTTTATTCTTTTTGTATTGAAAGCAAGAACTTCATATAGAACAGATGTATATTTGTCCTTTTGAAAATTTTTATTTTGTGTCCATATTCCATATTCATAAAGTTCTCATTTGCTTATATTGTGTACAAGTCTTAGATAAATTATATATAACAAAGAAAGTGGATATTAGTCATTTAAAAAAAAGAGTAATCACATAGATTACTATTTTTTAATTTAGAAACTTTACCGTAAAATTTATAACAGAACACGTATTTATCTATTAAGACTTTCATTATTTAACCATATGTTAACCGTTTATTTCATCAGATATAAAAAAGAATGCCAAGGATATAATTAGAAGAACTCCAAGATTTAACTATTGAAAATAATCTGAATTTTTTATTTCCATAATTACTTAAATCCACTTCATTTCGTAAGAACAAAGAAACCTAAGAAATTTCCAATTCCTGTCTCTTTTTCCTTACGGACACTTATAATAAAAAAGTAAGGAAAATGCATATATTGCTTCTCCGATAATACTATATCTTGTTAGACCCTAGAGGGGGGTGATTATGATCTTATGCTAATCTAATCCGATTTTATGCTAATTAAAACTAATAATAAGTTATCCTAGCAAGTATAAAATATAACAAGATATGTGAGCTAGGATAAATGATATACACAAGGGTAAACAAAATAAACAAGATAGTGGATGATATAAATAATGAGCAATGGACGATAGTGATAAGAAATATAAACATAAGAGAAGTGCGCCAAAGCAAACTCAAACACACGATATGATCACGGAGTTCGGACCTTCCATCCTACGTCTCCGCTCTCCACTCCCGGGGAGAAATCCACTATCACAACCGGGTTTTCTACGCTCACCCGAATAACGTTTACACCTCACAATGTCGGTTTTTAACGCTCACCGATCAACGTCCACACCTCACACTCGGTTTTCTAGTTCACCGAAAACTTCACAATTCACACTCTCACAATGTCGGTTTTTAACGCTCACCGATCAACGTCTACACCTCACACTCGGTTTTCTAGCTCACCGAAAACTTTACAACATTAACAATGTAACAACAAATATGTTCTTTACAATAGATGAGAACTCAATGTAGCTCACTCTTAATTGTTACAACTCACCACAACCCAAATTATACTAAGTATGAAAATACAATAAGCTCAAGTGGGTGTGTGTAAATAATGAGAATAAATAAGACTTAACTCAAGAAGAACTAGCAATAAAATTGATATGGAATACAATAGTAAAAATGCTAGGAAATAGAGTTAAGGAAACTTCTCTATAAACACAAAGAGAGGATGATGAAATATTGAAGATGAACTCTTCAACAACTGATGTAAGCTCCTCTTTGTAAAACCCCAAACTTAAAACAAACTAACCAAGGTTAAACCCTTATTAAACTTTTGTTTTAAAAACTTCTTGGTTGATTTTGGTAGTTGGGGTTTGAGGGGTTTATATAGGAAGAGAAACCAACAGCAAAACCCCCAACCAAATCCCCCAAAAACCCATAAAAAGATTTTTTAGATTCTGTACAAAAAAAGCCGTTGGGGTGAACGGCGGTCGACTGTGAAAACGGGGAGCCACTTTCGAGGCTCGGAAAATCTCCAGAGACTTTTGCGGTCGACCGTGGCGGTCGACCGTGGGAATTTTCGAGCTGACGGTCGATCGTGAGAATTTTCGAGCTGACGGTCGACCGCGAAAGTTTCTGCAACCCACTCAGCAAAAGACACAGGCACGGTCGATCGTGGCGGTCGACCGCAAACAGATATAAGAAATAACAGGTTTAGAAACAGTTTGATGATTTTGAAATCCTATTTAAAAATATCAAATAAATTCTAAAAAATATAAAACTTTAGGAAATGATTGTAGACATGATAATACACATGCTACAAAAATTGGTTTTCAAAAAGGACCTTCCAAATAAAAAATATCATCATTTTACAAAATAGTCCAAAACATAAAAATGTAAACATATGAATTTTGACATTTTGGTTAAACCATGTTTTGAAACAATACAAAATGATTTTATAGACTTGAAGAAAGATGTAAACTATTGTTATGAAGTCTATAAACAATGAATATAGTATTTTATCAAAATACACATATAATGCACTAAAACATGATTTCATTAAAATAAATAAAATTGATATTGATGAAATCATATATATGCATATAAGTATGAAACAAGAAATGTATTTTTAATTGTATTCAATTGTTTCATATTAAAACTTGAAAACTCAAAACCATGTATGTATATATATAACTAAATATACATAGAAACCAAAACTTAACTTATGTATATATATATATATATATATAACTATACATATATACAAAGAAACCAATAAAATATGTGTATGTATAGATAATTGAGCTTAAAGTACTTAACACACATAATATAAAACCTAAACTAAATTACACAAGCTTGATCTTGATCTTCAATAAGCTTGACTTGGTATACTTTGCGGATGAAGCATGAACTTGTATCTTTAACTTGAATGTACGTTGCTTCACTCCACTATTCCGCCAACCTCCATTGGATGTGATCGTTGATGCGCAATTACATCCATCCTCCAACATATTGTTTGTCTACAATAAATAGAAATACACAAACACTAGACAAACAACATTAGTCGTAAATTGTTTGTTAAACGTTTGTCTACAATAAATAGAAATACACAAACACTAGACAAACAACATTAGTCGTAAATTGTTTGTTAAACATCATCAAAACAAGAACAAACACTAGACAAACAACATTAGTCGTAAATTGTTTGTTAAACATCATCAAAACAAGAAGGCCAACATATCTTAGTAGAGTATAACAAATTACAAATAATTAAAACTTGAAATTTGCTTGAATGCATGACTTGATAATCTTAATGTTTATTACGCTTGTACTATACTCAAGTGTACTACTAACACTACTCAAATGACCGAACTGAACGGTCGACAACGACCTAATCCACTTGCTGCAACGATGGTTACTGGATAACTACTCATCTAATTATTTCATTAGCTAGTTAATATAGCATTCTTTTAATTGCAAAATTTAAACGGAAATCGTTCTTCTCCTTTCGATTTTCCTCTCCTTTTAATTTCCTGCGATCAAAAAAAAAAAAAAAAAACGTGAACAGTGTAATCATCGACCGTAAGCAATGACTCTCTCATGTGAGTCTTAAATGATATCAACGTGATCATGACCATTCATCATAGTGTCCATAATTCCCATGGCCACGGTACAATCATGATAAAAGTTTCGCCCCCACTGAGAACGAGCATCTGATTGAAATTGTATAAATAGACAATCAACTATGATTGACTTCACACACAATAACTCCTACAGTCTTGAAATTGTGGTCCTCGCTCGTTATCATGTCAAGGGAAACGCATCATAGTCGTAGGCGTTTGGTATTTTTCTAGGGGTGATGTAGGTTCGTAGAAATCTCAATTTTTCTTGCCTGATTTCACTTTGTGACCGTGAGTCCTACTAAAAGCTCAACGTTAGCATATATAATCTGATTTACATCTAGACCTGAGGTTGATTTCCAAATGCAAACTTGACTTCCGTGTTTTACTTGATCTAAATAAAATTAAGACGCGCGATGTATAGGCTTCACTTAGCTTCTGATCGATGTAGCTGTCAATACATTGCTTTAACATTGCTTGTAAAATAAATAAAGTAAAAAAGTAAAAGTGCACCTGAGTCCATTTTGAGCTCCGCATATATAGGCATCTAGATTCCCTTTAAGATGTATGTTGCTAATGAAGCTGGAAACCTGATGCAACTAAAGGTCTGTTCGGTTGGATGGAAACAGTGTTGCAAATGTAAATAGAGGGAAAGATTTATAATCACATTGTTTGGTTTGCAATTTTGTAGTTAGGAAAGTTAAATATACTTGCGTTTTGAGAAAAAAAAAAGTTACAACAAATGCCACAACAAATTTGGTAGGAGGAAAAGCTACAACTTTATAAAAAAAAATACAAATAATTCCACCTCACAATATAATCTTTTTAAATCCTACCAGAAAATCAATTGCGTACAAGTTTCCTTAGGGGCTGTTTGGTTCGCTATTATAAGGGGTGGAAAACTCAGAAAACCCATCCACGTCAGATTTTTAGCCCTCCACATCAGTTTTTTTGTTTCCGTCCACATCAGCTTTTTATACTTTGGCAAATGCACAACTATATATAAGATATAAATTAAGTTGGTGCTACTGTTCTAATGACAAGCAAGTGCACCTAAGGTTACCAAACTATAGATGTACAATATCCAACATGGGTTTGCACTTTCCACGGGGCTAGAAAGAAAACAGCTGAAATGAGGTTTTGTTTCAAAAGAAATTGTGGATACATCTCTTTAATACACACATCCAAACACTAAAAATTGAAAAAAAATCCTCTTGCGATGGCAAGTTAACGGAAACCAAAATCTCAACGTAAACCTAATGAGGGGAGGAAAAGGAACCATCCTAGGCAGGAAGTTACCCCTCACTTTCACGCACCAGAATTAAATAAAAAAAAAGAAAGAGGTCTGGGCCCCCATTGAGAGGCCCATTGGCTATATTTCTCTCCTAGGTTAAGAAAGACATAACATGACTGCATAACATGACCCATGCCTACTTTGTCAAGAAAGCTCTCATAGGTTTGTACTGTCTGCTTGCGAAATAAAGCAGGTGTTACATCCCTTGCGCAATTGATGAGCGTGGAGATGTTGATGGGTCAGGTGTGCAATAATATTGTCTGTTTATGTGTTGTTGTGATGGTGCGTCGGTTAACTTT